AAAGTTGAGAGTTGCTGTATCTGAATTTGATTTTCATTAATTGAATTTATTGTGAGCATAATTATTATATTTGCAATTCTCTCACTTGACTATTCCTAATTGCTAAACTACCCCTGAGCAGACCAACAGTCATCCTTGGAGAATCCCGTATTCATTTTTTTCTCTCCAATTTTTCTTCTTCCCTACTGCTCTGTTTGCTTCTTCTTCTTCTTTTGCAGCAAAATCCCAAAAAATTCAACACAGTCGAAGGGAATCAACAACATCATCATGGGCAAAAAAAAAAAAAAAAAAAAAAAAACATCGGTTGTTCATCCTCGTCGTCCAAACGACGGTTCTCACGGCCGCCTCCGTCGACAATTTTGGCAATCTGCCACTCATTTTGGTCCCTAGGTTTTCTCCACCGCTGTCGCCGCCAATCTCACCGCCGTCACCGTTCATCTATTCTCCACTATCTCCTCTACTGCCACACTCGCCGGCTGCCCAATCGTCACCACCACCGTGTGCACCGCCATCGCAACCACCCAAACCGGCCTCACCTGCACCCCGCCACCTCGCCGCTCTCGTCGACGCGTCACTCACTCTGCCTCGCCTTCCGCTACTCGCACCACCGCAGGTCACTATGCACCGGATCCCGTGGTGCCTATCTCTGCTGTCGATGCTTTTAATTCTCGGTTCTTTCTCCGAGCGCATCAAACCCGGTGGCGTCTGTCAAGTGGTTCATGATTTTTTATGCCAACCTACCTAGTGGGGTCTCTGATTTTCGAGGTCGTTTTTACGAAGAAGAAACTCGACTATTTTACTGCCCTTGCTCAGAAAGGGGGAGATTATTCTTGAGGGGGAGTTGACAACGAAGCATCAACAACCCAGGAGGAACCGCATACAGGGGGAGCTGATGCAGCTGCTGGAACTACTACTGAACTGTTGTTGCTCCAACTGTTCCAACAGTTGATGGTACAACAGCTGAAGTTGATACGAATGATGACGAGGAGTTGTTCGTTGATGCTGAATATATTCTGGAGTAGTTTTTTTGTGGTTGTCGAATTGATTTTCTGAACAACGGCCTCTAATAGTCTGCTAGGCTTAACTTTTTTCTTGTTTCGTTAACTGCTTTTTCCTTTAACTGTTCTAACAGTTACTCTATTATGCAGTCTAATGTTTTGTCAGGTATTTGATCAAGGGGGAGGACTTGATTATAATAAATAGATGACAAATGGGGAGATTGTTAGAATCCGAGAGGATTCTATTTCGGTTTTTCAACACGTGTGCGAAAAACGTGTATAAAAACTAGGGAAGTTTCCTTAGTTCTTTAAACTCTTATTTTGTCATTGATTAGTCTGCCGCCCCGCCGCCGCTCCACCCGGCACCTCTACCACGGCACCGCCGTCCTCCTCGTCTCTATCTTCAATTTCTGCCTTTCAATTTCTGGGCTGTCATATATGGGTTTTCTGCATTTTCAGAACCAGCTTTCATCTTTTCTCTTCGCATTCAACCGGTTCCAAGATTCAACCTTTTTCCGATTCTTGGATAACCCTTTGGTTACTATCACAGCGATTCTTGGATAACCCTTTGGTTACTATCACAGGTTAGAACACTAAATTTACTTATTTTACTGATTCTTTCAACTTTCTTTCATTAATTACTGGAAAACTCATGTTAAATCCTCGTTATGGGTACTGATTCTAATTACGTATCTATCTTGTCTGTGCTTTTTTTCTTTTGTTTTCGTTTAGGGTTTTTGTAGTTCTGATTCTAATTTGGTGGGTCAGTTTCAGATTTGCAAATTGCGCCGTAAAAGGGGCTTCAAGACTGTGTTTATTAGAGGAGGGTCTGGTGGTTCTGTTAATTCCGGGCCTAGCGCAAATATTCATGGCTCCGGCGGTGGTGGAGTGAAAAAGTTTGTATTATACATGTTCTTGCGTTGTACAACTACAGTGATTCTTCTTCTTTGTAGGTGAAGTAAAAATAGGTGTTTCAGTTTTGCACAAAAATAAACACAAATTGTTTCTTACTCATATTTTTTTTCCTCCCCCAGCCACCGTCGATATGACTACGCCAATGAAGCTGCATCGCACCTCGACCTGGAGACCGGCGACTCCTCCGCTGGCGTTGATGGGGGTGGATGGGGGCAGCGATCCTGATTTCTCTGATCCTTTCGACATTGCCAACACCAAAAATGCCTCCCATGAATCGCTCAAGCGCTGGAGGGTAAGATTTCGCCCGCGTGTGTTTGTTTATTGTATTGCATTTAATTATCACATGCAATAAATTGTTTGTTTTCATCGTAAAATGTGATGTCGTTGTTGGTGATTCTTTTATGGCCTCTGTTTTGGTTTCATGCACGTGACGTTTCGATGATCCGATCCCATAATAGTGCATCTTATTTTTCTGTTTGGAGGATAAATTAAACGGTTGAATGATTAGTTGTCGAATTTATCGTTTTTGCTTTTATGGTTATGGAATTTAAAATCACTTGAAATTCGATGAATTACATGCATGTGCACCTCTTTCTGATTGTCTAAGTCTTGGTCCTTTTGCAGCAAGCCGCCCTCGTGCTTAATGCTTCGTGACGTTTCCGCTACACGTTAGACCTGAAAAAAGACGAAGAACAAGAAAAGAGAAGACGGATGATCAGAGCACATGCTCAGGTCATAAGGGTAATATTAAAACACATTAGTCTTCATTCCGTACTTTTATTAATTCGATTCTTGATATTCTGGTGTCGGTGGTTGTAGGCTGCACTGCTCTTTAAGTTGGCTAGACAACGAGCAATAGGTATTTTTCGAGCGTTGCTTCTTTTTAAGCGGGTTTTCCTATTTCCATCTCTGCTACAAACCTGATTTGATTTTCGTCAAATCAGTATTAGGCACGACAGTAGCTCCACCATCTCCTAACGGTGATTATGAAATCGGACTCGAGCAACTTGCTTCGATGAACATGGATCATAATATTACAGCACTGCAACAATATGGAGGGGTAACACTTCCTTTTTCCCTTCACCATCTCTCTAGGAAGTTTGCTAACATATGCTATATGCATAAATATTAATCTCGACCGTCATTTTATTCAGGTTAAAGGGTTGGCAGAAATGATAAAAACAGACGTCGAAACAGGGATACACGGTGACGAAAATGAGTTATCACGAAGAAAGAATGCTTTCGGCTCAAACACGTATCCCGTGAAAAAAGGAAGGAGTTTCTTGGTAAGACTTGTCTAGAGTGTTATATTTGTTTGATAGGATGTTCTTACTTATACATTTCCACCATTTAATTATTCGACGTTTGTTTTTGCGCAGAGATTCCTATGGGAGGCTTGGCAGGATCTAACTCTCATTATTTTAATAATAATAGCCGCCGTGGCCTCTTTGGCTCTCGGAATAAAAACTGAGGTTGGCTTGAAATACAACAATACCATATTATTAAAAGAATTTATATAATTTCCTTCATATATAAATTTAAGAATTGCTCGTGTTTTCCAGGGCCTGGAGGAAGGATGGTACGACGGAGGAAGCATCACCTTTGTTTTTCTTCTGGTTATTTTTGTTACAGGTTAGAAAATTCAGATTGGTTATTTATAACCTTAGGAGAGAAGTAATATAATTGCATCTGTTGCATCTGTTGTTCAGCAACTAGTGATTATCGGCAGTCCCTCCAGTTTCAAAATTTAAACGAAGAAAAACGGAACATCAAATTGGAGGTAATATTCCAGTCACGAACTTATTCAAGCTTTTACCTTCTTGTTATTGTTCTCTTTAGAGTACTCTCATGGACAAACATATGTACAGATGATCAGAGGTGGCAGAAGAAACAAGGTTTCGCTATACGAGATTGTGGTTGGAGATGTCATACCTCTCCAGATTGGTGATCAGGTGATAACAGATCCGATTTTACTCGATATACTTTCTTGGACCACGCATCATTGTCTAAAAAGTCTCCTAATGTATTTTACACAGGTTCCTGCCGATGGAATCTTGATAAGCGGACATTCTCTCGCCATTGACGCATCCAACATGACTGGAGAAAGCAAGATTGTGAGCTGCTTAGACTTTATTTTGAAGGTTCTATAATATTAGATAATTATATTTTTATTTCTCACACACAATGCCATTATTGCAGGTCCACAAAGACCACAAATCTCCATTTTTGATGTCTGGTTGCAAAGTAGCAGCTGGTGCCGGAACAATGATGGTAAGATATAAAACTTTCCCACCTCCAGTAAACGAATTTTCGACCACGCTTAATTTCTGTTCCAATTTCAGATGTTGAATTATTATAACAAGTTCAAATTTCTGTTTCAGGTAACTGGTGTCGGAATCAACACCGAATGGGGATTGTTGATGGCCTGTATTTCAGAAGATACCGGTGAAGAAACTCCTTTGCAGGTACTTATTGGATATAACGGTTCATCTTTTCATTGTTTACTTACTACATGAAAATAAATAAAACCAATTATGGATCCTGTTGATACATTACAGGTGCGCCTGAATGGTGTTGCAACGTTTATAGGCATCGTTGGGCTCACCGTGGCTCTCTTCGTGCTGATTATTCTCTTAATCAGGTAATTTGGGCAGTGTTTCGTGTTATCTTATTCTACGACCACTTTCTGAGTATCAGTAACATTGACAAATTAATTACCTCAGATTTTTCACGGGGACGTAAAAAAATCCCGATGGATCTGTTCAGTTCGTCCATGGAGAGACCAGTGTTGGCGAAATAGTTGATGGGGTTATACACATATCATAACTGCTGCTGTAAGTTTCTACATTTTGATACGTAATTGCGAATACGTTAGATAACCTTCCTTTTTCTGTTCATTGACTGAAGTCCTTCGTTTAGGTCACGATAGTGGTGGTTGCAGTCCCGGAAGGGCTCCCGTTGGCTGTAACCTTGTCTTGAGTATCATAACTTGTCTTTTGTGTACATCGATTGTTGCCGTTTTGTCCTTATTTTGATTTCGATTTATCTTGAATTTATAACAGCCTAGCATACTCCATGAAAAAGATGATGGCTGACAAGGCCTTGGTATGTCGACTTTACTTCATCTTTCCCAGAATATTTAGTTTATTCAATTGTATTACAGCTTTATTATTAACTCAACATATCTTTCAGGTGCCTAGACTTTCCGCCTGTGAAACCATGGGATCTGCAACAACCATTTGCAGTGACAAGACTGCAACATTGACACTAAATCAGGTTATTTTACTTTCTCTGTCCTTTTTTTTTTCCGACTTTGGTGTAACTAACTTTGACAAACCACGTAAGACAGATGACTGTAGTTGAGGCTTATGTTGGGAAACAGAAGATGGATCCTCCTGAAGACGGTGCTCAGTTGCATGCAACAATTTCCTCTCTTCTAGACGAGGGACTTGCACAGAACACTTCCGGCAGTGTTTTTCTATCTAATGTATTCTTTTCATCAGTACGTGAGTGCACGTGAGCATGGATTTTTCAAGTCTTTTCGTAAATAAATGTCTGTGCTTCGGAAGGGAGTGTGATCATTAACCGAGTTTTTATCTCTTGTAGTGTTTAGGAGGGTGCAATGGAGGTTTCGGGATCTCCAACCGAAAAAGCTGTCCTTCAATGGGGTGTTAAGGTACTTTTAAGTCGTACGATAGTGTATCTATATTTCCAACTTTTAACATAACGAAATCAGAATCCGTAGTTCTCCATGTCTCTCCTTTCAATTCCATTAAGAAGCGAGGGGGTGTTGCAGTAAGAGGAAAGGTAACGATTCATTTATTCGATGCTTTTATGCTCATGTTTATAGTGGTTCTTCTTCTTTGTAGGTGAAGTAAAAATAGGTGTTTCAGTTTTGCACAAAAATAAACACATAGGTGCCTCGAGCAAATTATTCCTGCATTAAGAGAAGATTTAATTGTTTACTGATCTCGTTATAGATCTGATTTTGGGGAATAGAATATTTTCGATGCCCTTTTTGTTCGACAGGAGAGAGAGCTACTAAACTATTTCCGATGCACTGTCGTTCTAACTTCCGTTAAAGGCTACCGGAATAAAGGCATGCGGTACTGTTAAGTGTATATTTATACACTTAATTGTACCTTTTAATTGGAGCTTTTGATGTGTTTTTACGATAATTGGTGCTTAATTTGGTTATTATTTGTATTTTAGGGACAAATTGAAGAATTGGAAGAGTATGGGGTCAAAACTGCAATTTTGGAGAAAATATGGGCCAAAAGTGAAAAAATCAAAATTCTGAAGATTTAAAGCTCGGACCCCCGTCCCAGTTTTAGTGCAAATCGTGGGACCCCCGTCCGAGACTCCGAAATTGCGTAGAAAAGGGATTTTAATTGCACAAGGAAACTGCCTTCTTCCCCAAGTTCTTCACCCTATATAAGACCAAGTCAGGCACACAATTGGGGGGTCTCTTTTCGATCTTTTACCTTTTATTTTTATTTGGAGTTTTTATCTTTTCTACACGCAATCGAGGAGCAAGAGAACGAAGACGAAGACTTGACGAATCTTCATCCTAGTTTCCCTTTTCCTTTTCTTTTCTGATTTTTATGAATTTCCGTATTTTTATTATGCTTTTCGTTACGAACATGAGCAGCTAAGTTTTTATTCTAGGATTTTATTGAAACCCTATGTGGTGATTCGAACCTCTTATTCGACTTTTATGCAAGTTTAATTTTTCGATTATTTCTTCTATCTTGATCTTATTTAGTGCATGAGCGTAGCTAACTTATGTTGCTATTTGTTATTGTTAGAATTGATTGACAGATCGTTTTAATAATTAGAACAGGGATAGAAGAGCCTTCGAGTAGTTTTTCACCGAATGCGTGTGTTGATTGCATGTATTATCGTAGACATACAGATAATACCTTAGGTAGCCGTTTGCGAGACTTGTTATTTAATGCTTTATTTATATTAGGTTTGCATAGGCATATAGTGAATCTTTTATGAATAATAGGTTTATAGCGCAGCGACAGCTGGTTATGAATAATTTCGTGTCTTGGGTTAATAATCGGGAATCGTAACTTGCATAATAGGAGATTAGTTGGGTGAAGAATTATCGCATAGGGGGAAGATAAAATCCTAGATCCGTTTTTATATTGATATTTTCTCGTGATTATTTGCTTTCTTAATTAGTTTAATTTATTTAGTTAATTAATTTGACAACCCTCCGTAGGCTGGATAAAAATCACAATTGTTAGGATTTGGTACTTAGGATTAAATAATTTGCGTATTCCCTGTGGGATCGACATCCGACTCTCACGAGTCTACTTTACTACTTGTTTGCGATACGTACACTTGCGTGTTGGTATTTAGCACCCAACAAGTTTTTGGCGCCGTTGCCGGGGAATACGGCTAAATTATTTATTTATCCTAATATTAAATTTGAACAATTTTTCTTACTTCAGCCAATTTTTTTTTTTATTTTATTTAATTTTTTTTTTATTTTGTTTTAGGTATTTTTTTTATGCGAAGAGGACACGACACGAGCTTGCTACCACTTGATCCCGAAATTGAGCGAACGTTTAGGCAAGCCAGGAGAAATCAACGGTTAGCCCAAAACACTCCGGCAACGATGGAAGACGAGATAAATCGTGGGAGAGGTGACCAAGGGCATCTACCGAATGCGGTGGGGGAAATCATCAATGAACAAGAACAACGCCAGCTAATTAATCCACCACCTCGTCAACGAGCACTGCATGAGTACACCGTTCCAACGCTAAATGGATTTCAATCAAGCATCCAGCAGCCCCCCATTGAAGCCAATAATTTCGAAATTCGAGCGGGACTCCTCACGATGCTCCAAAACAACGGTTTATTCAGCGGATTGGCTCATGAAGACCCACATCTCCACTTGGTCAACTTTCTAGAGACGTGTGATTCGCACAAGATGAACGGAGTAACACCCGAAGCACTGCAACTCCGCCTGTTCAAGCACTCCCTACAAGGAGCAGCCCGAGAATGGTTGCAAACTCGCGCACCGCACTCCATCTCGTCTTGGGCCCAGCTAGCGCAACTTTTCATGAACACATACAACTCCCCAACAAAAACTGAGAGAATCCGGAGAGAAATTCAAAATTTCATACAAGAAGCCGGTGAAGCACTATTCGAGACGTGGGAGCGGTTCAAGCAGCTAGTAAGGAGGTGCCCGAATCACGGACTTCAAGAGTGGCGCCAATTGCAAATATTTTACGATGGATTGCAAGACAACTCGAGAACCGTGCTCGACTCTGCAGCTGGAGGTATGTTCATGAGTTTGACCTACGACGAAGCATACGAGCTCTTGGAACGAATCGCTCGAAACAAATACATGAGGGCATCGGACCGGTCGAATAGCGGAGCAGTCAAGACGGGCGGAATTTTGGAGTTAGATGGAGTCACCGCAATCACGGCCCAATTGGAGAAGCTATCGAAGCAAGTAGCGGCTTTGCAGACTCAGCAAGTCCACGCAGTCCAAGTTCCCGACCAGCGCATAGAAGAAACGGAGTCTCTGAATTATGTGCATGACACCAACCGACAGCAGAGGAACCCGTACTCCAACACTTACAATCCCGGATGGAAGGATCACCCTAACTTTGGGTGGGGAGGAAATCAGCAAGGACAAAGGCAAGCAACACCTCAAGGTCAACCGCCTAATTATTCACGACCGGCTCCCGGATTCCAAAATCCGCCTCAAGCCCAACCTCAAGGCGGAGATCTCGCAAATATCTTGGCGCAGTTCATGACAACCACCCAAGCCTCTATCCGAAATTTGGAAACACAGATGGGTCAACTTGCAACCCAACTAACAGCGAGGCCATCGGGAGCACTGCCATCAAACACGGAAGATCCTCGGAAGAACAACATCGAACAGTGCAACGCTGTAAGTTTAAGGAACGGGAGACAATTAGAGGAGGCCCCACGCAAGGAGAAGCAACACACGGTAATCGAGAAACCGAATGTGAATGAGGAAAAAGAAGCAACTCGCAAGGAACCGCCATCTCCCACAGTGATCTCAAGAGTCCCTCAAGTCCCCTTTCCTCAAAAGCTTCAAAAGAAGAAACTCGAGGCTGAGCACCAAGGATTCTTGGACAAGCTGAAGGAAATCCACATCAACATTCCGTTTATCGAAGCCATCCAAAAGATGCCAAAGTGGGTGAAATTCCTCAAGGAGCTTGTGACAAAGAGGAATAAATTGCAAGGGAACGAGATCATCCAACTCACGGAGCAATGCAGTGAAATTCTTGTACGACCCCTTCCACAAAAACTCGGCGATCCAGGTAAGTTCACTATCCCTTGCACTATTGGAGGTAACAATTTTAGGTCACTCATTGATTTAGGTGCTAGCATCAATCTTATGCCTTATTCCATTTACAAAAATCTTGGGTTAGGTGAGATTGAACCAACGGCTATAACCCTTCAATTAGCCGATAGGTCTTTAGTTTACCCAAAAGGTATTTTAGAGAACGTGCTAGTAAAAGTGAATAAATTTATTTTCCCTGTGGATTTCGTTATACTTGATATAGATGAAGATAGGGAAATACCTCTTATTTTAGGGAGACCATTTTTAGCCACGTCAAAAACTCTAATTGATTGTGCTAGTGGTGATCTTTCAATGACGGTGCATGATCAAACGGTCAAATTTAACGTTTTTAGCGCTAATAAAAATCCATGTGATGATAATGATTGTTATGCTATAGATCTTGTGGATTTTACAAATCATGACGATTTTGACGCTTTGATCTTAGACCATGGGAAAGGATCTTTGAGTGCAGGAGATGGTGGCAGAAAAAATAGTTGGACGGAGCAAGTTTATTGTGCGAGCTCAATTTCAACTCCGCCGAGAGACAGTCAAGGGAGTTGGGGTGATAACAATGATGCACGTGCAAGGTGGATGTGGCCACCTAAAGAACCAAACGAGCATTATTGGGGAGAGGAATTCAATCGCCAAGTGACTTCGGTCACGTTAGCTTGAACAAAGAAGCAGACAAAGTCCGGCTGAAGACTGTAAACTTAGCGCTTCTCGGGAGGCAACCCGAGCTTTCGTTTATTTTATTTTATTTTATGTCACTTTAAATTTTTGTTTTGATTTTATTTTATTTTATTTTTCAAAAAAAAAAAAAAAAAAAAAAAAAAAAAAAAAAAAAAATTGGCAGCACTGCATTTGGGACGGCCGTCCCAAAATATACCTTTAAAGTGGGACGGCCGTCCCACAACCAGAAGGGAACCAGTAGCCTTGGACGGCCGTCCGAGTTTTAGCCTTAAAACCGGGACGGCCGTCCCCAAACCAGTGAGCGACGACGAATTCTCAGACGGCCGTCCGAGAACTAGGAAAAAATGTGGGACGGCCGTCCGAACTAAAAAGGGGGCGTTTAAATTTTCGAAAATTAGATTTTCTCCCCCATTATTTCTTAAACCCTCCTCGTTCGTTCTCTCTAACTCCACACACGAATTTTCGAATTTTTTTTGAATTTCTCTTCCAAAAATTCTTCGATTCCACACACATAATTTGCTCACACACTCTCCGATTCTTATTTTGTGTTGGTAATGACAGGGAGGCTAGAGAATCAAACCAACCTCTACAAAATTTACTCATTCGAGGCACGCCCACAAGGTGTTCGACAAATTGCTCCAACCAAGTTTGGGGGTCGATTCTCGTCTAATTTTTACCGGCACCCATTCTTGAGCCCGTAC